TGCCGTAAAAAAACTTATTTAACATAATTTAATGGATGGATAAAATCATAGAACAGTATGAATTAGCCAGTAATACTAATTACTGGTAATTAAGAATTATTACTTGCATTAATTACTGGGATAGAACATTGCTCGATTATATTCAAAAAAAAAAAAAACAAATAATAGAGTATTTGCACCGATCCCTTTTAAAAAATATTCCCTCTATTTAATAATGTAAAATATTTTTTTGATGTTGAAAGTTAAAAAATATAAGTTATTTTTAAATTAAATTTTTTAATATCTAATTAATGAGGTTTTTTTTAAAAAATACTTTTAATGAATAAACCATTCAACTCTTTACCTTTAAATAAGACATCATGTTAAATAAAAATAAATATTAAAAGATAACATTAATTTAAAGATAATTAATTAATTTATTAGAGTTATAATTTGATTCAAAATATTTTTTATTTTTTAACTCAAAAAGTACATATTGAGATACGAGAGAAATAGATAGTTTGTTTTGCAAGTCGCTGGATAAAAATTTATTAAATTTTATCAATATTGTCCCTGTTAAATGTGAGCGAATGCAACGCAAAAAAAAAAAAAAAAGTATGTGTGTATTTTTTTATACAGGGTTAATAATAGACTTAATTTCAAACAGGACCCAAAAAATTGTAAAAATTCATTGCAGGTTCGAAGGACTGAAAAGAAATAAACTTTCTTAATTAAATGATCAAAATGTCATTACATAATAAGTTAAGTTATGGTATCTACAAGTAACATTATTATAATAACAAGTTACGTTTTTATAAATAATATTATTATAGTAACAAATTAAATTATAATTTTTACAAATAATATAACTAAAATGACATGTCATGTTATGATCTTTACAAGCAGTATTAGTAAAATAATAAGCTAAATTATAATTTTTACAAGTAACACTAATATAATAATAAGTCAAGTTACAAATTTTTATAATTGATATTATGAAAATAATGAAAAATTATATTTATTCTAATAATGTTACTTGAAAAACCTATAACTTGACTTGTTATTTTACTAATTTATTTGTAAAAATTAAATTGTAACTTGATTTGTTATTTCAGTAACATTAATTTTAATGGAAGGGCATTTTGATTATTTAATCAATAGACTTTTTTTCATTTCAATCCTCTGAGCTTGTAGTAAAATTTTAAAATTTTGAGTATCACTTGAAATTATCTCATATCTTAGAAACTTTAATGAAATTCTCCCTTAGTATAATTTAACTATTTTTCTTGATTTCCAATAAAATACTTAATAAAAAGGTTAGAAAAGAGTTTTAATCCAATAAAAGCCAATGGCAAATTGCCTGACCGGCTCTATGAGCATGAGGTTCAGGGTTTGAACCTATTTTGGTTGGGTGCGTGAGTTGTATGTTTAAATTGATCATTTAAAAAAAAAGAAATTAAACTTTGTCCTATAAACAAAAATTTAAAATTGAATCCTCTCAAAAATATATTTTTTTTTAAAAAAAAGAGAGTTTGTATCCCTTGCACTAATATGAGTGTTGATTAGAGATATATAAATTACTTCCCCTAAAATAGATAAGACATTTTTAATTAAATCACACCTCTCAATAAATTAATTAATTACCTTTAAAATTATATTATCTTTGTATATTTGTCATTATTTAATGAGGTGTTTAACTTAAAGTTGAATGCTGATTGTTTTATTTATTAAAGACAAGAATTCATTAATTATATATTAAAAAATTAAATTTTTTTTATATTTTTAATATCTAATATTAAAAAAATATATTATATTTTTAAATATAGGGAATATATAATAACAATATCTCGCTTATTTTCATTAGAGTACGTCAAAATGCAGTTAATTTCAAAAACACATGCTCATGTTCTTTGGAATCTATTAGTCAAAAATTGCAACCTCATACCCGAACAAGTCAGCGCATGTATCTTGTTGACCAGATCTCCTCCATCATTATTTTTTCCCAGAATTAAATTTATCATCATTGCACATGTTTTTTTTAAAAAAATTAACTTTAAAATTTATAGCATGAAATGAAACACGATCCAATGATATCATGCGTGCGTGCACAAGTGGAAAACCCAGCTAATTCACTCCAATGATGCCTCCCTATATATTTCTGAAGCAAATGCCTCATATATCTGTCACAAGTAAATTGCTTAAAGGCCCCTTCAAATGTCATATATCTTTCAGATTCTGATTACGATTTGAATGCGAATTTAACAAGTTAATCCTTAATCTTTATTTTCATCAACTAGTCTTAGGTCTACCAATTTTTACATGTGTCCCGTTTTGGTGTGGTGCTCAACATATGACGAGGAATCGACTCACAAGTTTTATTTTATTTTTTTATTTTATAATTATTAAAATAAAATTTATAAAAATTTAATAAATTTATTTTATCATTAATCTAGATAAAATAAATTTAATTTTGATAGCCCAATTTAATATTAAAAGTCTTTATAATTTTTATAAATTAACTACACAAAACTACTATGAAAAGTCCAGTTTTTATTTATTAATATACATTTGAATAGTCAATTTATAATTTTATAAAAAAATTTAATATTAAATTGATAGTCATTATAATTTTGATGTATCAAAAATAAAATTGGACTATTTAGATTAAATTTGTATTATCCAGATAGCTAAAAAAGATACATTTATTAAAATTTTCATAATTTTTATTTTAATAAATATAAAAAAAGTAAAATAAAACTAATGAATCTAGATCATCCAAATTAAAATTTAAACGGTTGATATGATAAACATCGAAATTAATTTCATTTACATACATATAGAGCTAATAATTTAGGCAGGCTAAATATATTTGGGCCAAGCTTATTATGAAAAAGCCCAAATAATCAAGCTTGATTTAAACCTCTTCGAGCTTTAGGTTTATTTATGCCGATCTGAACTCAAATTACCAATTTTTTATTTTTTAAGTTAATTTAAATTTAATTTTTTACTTTAAAATTAAGTATTTTTATTTTATATAAAATATATTTTCTGGGAAATTTAAATGATGTAGAAGACTCAAACTATTTTTTAAAAAAATATTTGGGTCTTAAAATTTTAAAAAATATATTAAAATATATTTTAAATATTATTTTGAGATATTTTATAGATTAAAAATAATAAAAGTATAATAATATAAATATTTTTAATTTTTTTAAAAAATCCATAATAATGTAGTCAAATATATTTTATCTTAGTATAAAATAATTTAAAAGTTACAGAATTAATTAATCTTTAGTATATTTTTATATATATTTAAAAACATAATTTTTTTATTCGAATATTCATGCTTACTTGAATAGACTCGAACATTGAAAATATACTATTTTACTAATCCCAACCCTAAATTTTTTGGGTTCATTTGGGCTGACTTGAATTATTAATTCTGTTTACATACATTTTACTATCAATATTTTCTTTTTTTTATATATAAAAAAGTTTAGAGGAGTTGAATTTGGAAATCATTAGGGTCAAAACATGTCTTCAAGCTATATATATATATATATATATATATGAACATATATATCACCATGCCAATTAATATTCTCATTCAAGCCCATCTCTTATCTTTTCCTTAATGCATCTTCGTGTCATAACAAACAAATAGTTATTGGTCTTAGTACAATGGATTATGGTTGATTGTTTAAGTATTAGTATTACAAAGTCTCGATCGAGTTTGAGTCCATATATATGAACTACTACCAATTAGGCTAACACAATGTTCAAATCTACATCAAATAACTCTATACTTCTTCTGTTTAAAAATATAACACATTTTTTAAAAAGTTAAATATTAAAAAATATAATATATTTTTAGTGTTTTACAATGTAATCATTGTAGTTTTTAAAAAAAGTACTCTTAATAAATAAATTATTTTATATTTATTTTAGAGTAAAACATTCTATGAAATAAAAATAAACATGAAAAATGATGTTGCTTTAAAAATGAGTGATTACTTTATTTGTGGGTAAAATTTGATTAAAAATGACTTATATTTTTTAACAAATAAAATAAAAAAAGTTATAACCAAAGCCTCCTATACAGATGTGCAGACATGCTCGCTCACTATGCCTCTCTGAATAATTTTGATCTTATGATTTATAATCATTCACCCTCAGGATGCAGATCTCTTATAAAATTTGATATGACCTAGTTTTATTCAATTTTTACACAAATTTTCTGTATTCTTGTATTAAAAAAAAAAAAAGAGCCTCCAGTACCTTTGCAATCTATACAAAGAAAATTACACACACAGAGAAGCGGATCTAGGACTTTCGGTCAGTGTGGAGCAGAATTTGTTTTTTTTTTTTTTTTGAGATAGATGATATATTTACTTTATCGATTAATTTGCTAGAGTATAGAAGTACCTTATAAGCTTGGTTTTATTACATAGACAAGAGTTGATATTCAAACTCCAGTTATTTGTTTAAATAATAATAAAACTCCTATACCAACTTGTTTCCTAAAAATATTAAACAACAAATTGAATATTTAAATATCAAAATTATTTTAAACTACATAAATGATTTTAGTACAAATTTTAAAAATAAAAAAATAGAATAAATGATTCAATTAAAAATATAAGAATTTAATGATTTTAAATAAAAGTCTCAATAAAAAATAATTATTCATAATACTTTAATTATTCTAAAATTTCATTCCCCTTCAATTATATTTCTTTTTTCCTTCTGACAAATTATGCACCACAATCCCTCACCTAGATTTAGGTGACTAACATTTCTCTCTTCCTTGTCCCTTATTCCTTTCTCGATCCGTAAGTCTAAAACTAATATATCAGTAAATTAAAATTCAATTCATATTTATACGGGGTATCACACAATAGAGGTTGGGCAATTAATATATATTTGCTCATTTAGATCCGCCACTGCGCGGGCGCATATGTGTGTGTGTGTGGGCGCGCGTGTGGAGACTGCTAAGCTTATATATATTTATAGAGGAGGAGTGGAGGAGTGTGTGTGTGTGTGTGAGATGTAAAGTGACTTCAAAATCAAAGCAGTGACATAAAAATGGCTGCTTTAACTAGCGATGAGCAGTGGATTCAAGCGAAGGATCATCATCATCATCATCATCATCATCATGGTTCAGTGTCCAAGACAAAGAAAACCAGTCCTAATTCCAAAGCAGCAGCGATCATCACAAAACGAAGATCTCGAGCTTCCAAGAAAACCCCAGTCACTCTCCTCAACGCCAACGCCTCCAACTTTAGGACTCTTGTCCAACACTTCACCGGCTGCCCTACCACTCCCTTGTCCCTCGGCGTCCCTTTTAAGGGCCCCTTAACTCTAAACTTCCAACGAGGAACCCGAGAAGTCCATCAGATTCATCACCACAACACTTCATCATCTAGACACGATGATCATCACAACAACAGCCAAGTTCTTCGTGTTCGTTTTCATCATCATCATCAGCAGCAGCAGCAGCACCAGCAGGATGTCTCCGGTGATCTCAGTGACGACTTTGATGGTCTTCTTCAAGAGCAGCAAGTTTTCAATGCAGGTGATGATCTTCATCATTACCAGCATATGACGATGACGGAGAGAAGATCATCAAGTGGCGCCGCTGATCTTATTGATCCCAGTGGTTATTCTTCTTCTGCTGTTTCTTCCTCCTCCTCGTGTGGCCTGGACGTCGTCTCTGATCTTACTACTGATGACTTTGATGGTTTCATGGATGATTTTAGTTTGCACGATCTGATTGATATGAACAATGCTTTCTCCAATGATTTAGGTTATTTCGTGTGAAGATTCAACACTATCAGTGTGTTAAATTATATATAGAATTGATGGAAAGAGAGTTCGATAAAGGAATTCCCGAGCTTCATCAGCTTATCCCTGAATCTGAACAAATTGTGGACTTAATTACAATTAGCTTCTACTTTTGTCTGCTTCCTATGATCATAATTTACTTGAATAATCTAATTTATGATTTGCTTGTGCAAGCTAAGAATGGTTCTTTGGATAGCCAATCACACACACAGCCACCCTGTTATTGAGTTTGGAATAATTCTTCTTGCGTAAATCATCATTTGGTAGTAATTAGGACTATCCATTAATCCTAATCAGACTCTCCCTACATGGGGAAACTCTTCTATTGAGTGTGTGTAATGTGTGTTTATTTTAACTTTTGACAAAATTTGATCTATCTAGAGAGGCTTTGGCAGGTTTCAAAAAAACAGATACCTTCCACTTAAATGTTCACTGATTTTCATTCTCTGTCATTTCAAAGACGTACAATTCTTTGAATTTGGATATGGTGAGTGTTCCGTAATTCTTCTCACCTAATGAGTTTTTCATATGACATTATAAAGATCATCGATTTAATCGAATGATTATTGAAAATGTAGGCACAAAATACAAAAGGAATACCAGATTAAAACACAGCTTTATCTGTTTATTAAAAAAAAAAACGCACACGCAAATCGATCTTTTTTTCCTAAATCTTAATCCAATAGTTCATTGGACTACAGAAAAATTGTTGAAATGCATCATTATATATATAACTGTCATTTATCTCGTCGTTTATGATGAGAGATCTTATTACTGATAAATGAGAGGATTTGGGACACTTGTTGAATCTAGATTTGATGGCTCTATGCTATGTGATTAATGCTCCGCAATATTAAATACACTAAGCGATTTATTATTCTCAGGTGGTGGATTTTTAGTATTTACTTATAATTAATTTGCCGCAACAATAATAATATAGAAACACCGCGCCAGACATAGGGTTTCTAGACTTCAAAAGTAAAGACGTAATCCTATCTACACGTATCCTATTATTATTATTTTTAAATTGTCCGTTTATAGCGTGATGTATGCTTATATTTACAAGTAAAATGTGATATAATTATGTTCATAAATAATGTTGTTATATAATTTCATAACAACAAAACATTTTAACCTAAATAATTGTGATTTGTGAACATACATAATTGTGATTATTCTAAGGTAGATTTATTTATTTATAATTAATAATGTGCCGCAATGTTAAATAATATATAGAAACACCGTCACGCCATCACGGTTTCTAAAGTAGAGACTTAATCCTATCTACGCGTATCCTATTGTTTTTTTTTTTTAAATTGTCCATTTAGAGGGTGATGTATGCTTATATTTACAAGTAAAATATGATATAATTCTTTTCATAAAAAACGTCGTTACGTAATCTCATAACAACAAAGCATTTTCTTACTTCCTCCTGATGGCTCACAAGGAAAGCTCAGATTGGGGGAAAAACAAAGAAAGAAGAAAGAAGAAGTAGTAGTCAGTCAGACGATTTTTGTGAGTGAAAATTTTTCAAACTTGTAGCGTAATATGAAAAGAAAACAACGTCCATCGTCCAATATGAAACCACACAAATTATTAGTGTCAATAGATAATTTGTACTTCTATGGTCAAAGAGAATTTTTTTTTGGGGTACATGCTGAAAAGTTCATTAAACAAGAGAAGTCTCCCACCTAATTTCAAATCGATAAAATTTTAGTCAAATTTACATTCATGTATTTTAGTCAAATTTATTATATTTGATTTATTAAACTTTCAACGCAGTGATCATTGACGGATTATTGGTCGAAGGTGCTGACTTTAATGAGAAAAAACAAAAATCGATGTCTTTTTTGGCTCCATTTGCATGGAAGAACAATTTGCTTAATTACGCCACAGAGGTTATTAATTTATTTTTTTGACAGTTTTCTTAATCCTATTTTGCTCTGTTATTTACTTCAGCGCGCCACAAGATTCACCATCACCGAAATTTCAGCCGTTCTTCTGGAATAATTTTAATTAATTACTGTCACATGGATTTATTGTTTTCAAATTAATATGCTGTAACATTAATAAATTATTAATTAATTAAACCATATAGAAACACCGTGTCATCAGGGTTTCCTAACTTCAAAAGGTAAGTCGTAACCTACCTACACGCATCCTATTTTGTTTTTTTTCCCATTGTCCATGAATAGGGTCACGTATGCCTATTATAGACATGTATAACGTTACCTAATTCAGGTGATGCTCGGTTAGAATGACGCTGCACAAAGAACTAGACAGGGTTATACTTCAACCGCACTCAAAGTTTAATTTCTTTTATAAAAAAAATTAAATTAGACAATTAAAAGTTCGGATTCAGTAATAATTCAAAGATTAATAAGACTATACTTGATTTATAGGACTAAAATACTGATCCTGTTAGTCTAATCTTCACTTAACTTTTTTTACCTTTTTCTTTCATGACAAACAATAATTCATTTCAGTCTAATAAACTCAATTAAAATAATAAAAATACTTATAATAATTTTTAATAATAAGAAAAAAATATTTTAATTATAGTCCAAATGATTCAAATTATTAAATTATTAGTCTGAGTATGCGACCATGTAAGGAACCAAATTTATTGAATTGTTAATAATCTTAACTTATTATTATAAATAATTAGTAAATTAATTATAATCATATTAAATAAATTTAATAGCACCAGACTAAATCAAGTAATCCAAATACCTAGTCTCATATTCGTTAAAGTTTATTTGATTCTACTATCTATTTTTACGTTATTAAAACGATTTCATAGAGTAGGTTTTTCAACAAATTTTAAAAAGGTAAAAAAAATTGTTTGAATAATCATTTCAACAAAAATATATAAAGCGTGAAATAGAATAAGAAAAATTATTTATTTTATTAACATAATTATCATTTATAATTAAAAACATCACATTTTTAGTCTTTTTTCTAATTTTGTAGAGTAAAAAATAACAAAACACAAAAAAGATGTTCTGATTTTTAAAATTTTGAGAACTTTCAACCTTTTTTTATTTTTCATGTCAACCAATAACAAGAAACATTTTCCAACAATTTGTTTTTTTGGTTTTGAAAACAAAAAACTATTTTAAAAATAAGAAATAAAACATATCCGATTATCCTCAACTAAAGTTGGAAGATTCAACATCCTTGATAGGAAAAAAAAAAATCACGTTACAAAAACTATTTTAATTAGGTTTAACAATATTTAAATATGAACTAATAACATTGGATACCAAATTATTATAAAAAAGTACATAATATAACTTCATAACATCTTCTATCAATAATACACAACAAAATTTAACAATAGCCTTTCATGTGATAGCTTAGTTTTGACTTTCTAATATCCAATTTATCTCGCATTATTTTAATTGAATAATAGATCAATATTTAATCGAAATTAAAATGCATTTAAAAAAAAAACCATCTTTATGATTTCAATTTAGGACAAAATAGTCCCAATCATACTACACTAATAAGTATGAACTCATCTTACATCTTTGTATCATATAAATCTATGAAATTATAAATATTAAACTTAAAATATAAGATTAAATACGTTTATTTTTAAAGTCAAGTCTTACAAGGTATATCAAGAGAGAGTCCATGATTCTAATCTACCACCAAACAAAACCGAAAGCCGAAACCAAAATTTGAACCGAGACTGTGAGAGAGGTGCTCTCCCTGAATCGCCCATCCAAAGTGGGGCAGCGCAATCTTCAAAGATAGATAAACTATGAAAATGAATCCAACACATTCAAGATGAACAGCTGAGAATGAATGGGAATGAGATTCATGGGCCAGAGAGTGAATATGAAATCAGATTCATTTCTTGGGCAGATAATTGTGACAAAAACCCATCACTCTAAAAAGTTTTCCTCGCGCTTGATACACAACCGAAAGCATGAGCTTTCCAACAGTCACACAACTTTCCGCTTCTCATCACTCGGCAGAGAACTATAGACACCAACTATTCTGCAATTTCCCCTTCCTCCAATTCCCCTGGCACAGGACACATTCCACTCACACCACATAAATCTCTTCCCTCAACTTCTGGTTTACTGGAAAGTTCACTTTCATAATCAATAAATTCTTCAGGATTGATTAAAGCCATAAGATCAGAATAGATATCCATATAATTACTATCAACGTCAAATGCCGTATTTCCAGATAAATCTAGTTCGTTGCTTTTCATGGAAGAATGTGAAAGATTTCCAACTGCGTCTCCTTCAACTTCAAGCAGAGGTTTATCTGATGAAATATTTAGTGCTTGCTCAGAACTCTTGTTTTGGCTAGGCGCTTCATATGATAATTCTGAATCTAAATGCTTCATGAGATCAAAAATCTGTGGATTTGGGGAGCTGTTGTCATCTTCTATCTCCTCCTCCCTAAATGGTTTACCGTTTGGGCTTCGATCGCCAACATAATCCTCCTTCTGCAGTGGTTTGTGTACGGTGGGGTTGACAGGCTTGATAACTTCAAAATTGACGTTGTGAGAAGGCAGAAATACATGAATGACAGGGAATTCCAAGATGATTACATTTGCTAGTTGCTCTCTAATTGGAGCTTTCATGTCCAACTCTTTAAATGGTGACTTTGGTCCCTGTAATAACATGAACTAATATTATTACAATACTCTTTCATTTATGTACCAAATAGGTAGCAAAAACAATTGATCCTTGGATAAACCAAACGGACAGTACCTAGAAGTGTATGTGAAAAATTAATATATGTAATTTATGATGAGCTGTATATAAAAATTTTAATATAACTCCCCCAATTAAAGTCACCAGCAAAATAACATGATCTAGAATTTTAAACAAGCTAAACTAGTGATGTGGACTCCACCACAAACAACTCATGAACTCAAACTGAAGGAAAGGTCAAAAAAAAAAAAAACCTTTGGAAACTTTCGAATGAAAAACTTCAGACAATCCAGCTTCTCTTCACAGAATTTCCTTAATTGATGATTCCAAGGACCAGGCTTAAGATGCTTCTCCAGAATGGTGCTCAAGCTTGCGTTCTCATTGACTCTGGAAATCATGATCGTGAAAATCCTCTCAAAAATTGAATTCTCTAGGCTCTTATCAGATAGTAAGAATGTAAACAGAGTAGCATTTTTATTTTTCTTTGTTTTTGTAACAGAGCAGCATATAAAGCAGAAGCAATTAGCAGTGTGGCTCACCCATGGTCAACGACAATGATATCTGTTTGGTGAAACCGCCATTCAATTGTCCAAGATATGAACTTCTTCCTGAAAGAGTTGCCAAAGAGATTCTTATTTGACTTAGATCATGAAGTTCCCACCTCGGCAAATTAACTACCTAAATAATCTAAGCGCAAACGACCATCCAGCTAAACATAGAAAACTATTAACCACATCACATAAAAATAATAATAACCTGTTGTCATATCGAGACTGATTCTTCTCTCTTTTTGACATCCCTCTAGGAAGAAACAGTAGCTTAGTTTTCCGGCTCCCAGCAGCACTTCGAAGGCTTTTAAGGTGCAAAGGTAATCTAAAGTGAGCACCAAATTTAGTTCTCATCCTTCGAGCTGATTCAGCTACCCTCTTCATATCCTCCAGCAAATTATAGTCTAGCTTGAGAAATTTCCATAAGAAAAGGATAATAGTAATCAATAGATCCATGTATTGGGAAATTATAAGAATACATACACGCACAATTATGAACATACACATTAATGAAACATCAATGAATAGACCAAACATGCGAAAGACAAAAGTTGAAGGCAGAGAAAGATGCAAAATAATATCGGAAATTGAGCAAGGAAAAATCACTTAAGGGTCAAAGACAAACTTCAGACTTTCAGTGGGCAAAGTACCAGACAGTAGGAGGCTGTCGTCAAACTGAGAGATAGGAACAAATTGAGTCTGATTCCTCTTGCCAGTGCATCCCGTGCGTTGTTTGTGAGCTTTGACACAAGCAAGACTGCATGAACGTATGGAGCAACCAGGACATTTGTATATCGATGGGTTGAACTTGCACTCTTCACATAGTTTTGGCTCTTTGCACACGCTTCTATCTTGTTCTTCCATTCGTAACAGATAAGTGATGAGTTTACTATTCTTGCTGACTATTAAACCGCAGACGCAATACCTTCAGCAACGGCAACGTTTCAACTTCGGCTGACTCTTCACATGAACGGCAAAGATATCTGCATTTTTTTTTTAGCACGAAAGACCATCATGCCGGATAAACAGCCCGAAAATGATCATCTAACCAATATCATTCCTAGATTATAGGACACAAAGTTTAACTAACTTGAAAGAAAAATTGGTTTTAGGTATATGATCGTACTATGAATATATATACATCTTGCTGACTCCATCAATCTCATTGTGAATCAAACACGAACAAAAGTTGCCATGAAAGATGCTTTTAGCAACCTTATCTCACTCGGTCGAACAGAGAATCTCAGAATTCGGTGAGCCAAAAAGAGTATAGAGAAAATGCAGCTATCTTCTTTTTCTGCTTCCTCGAGCTCCAATTTCCTTCTCTATTCCTCCCGCTATCTCTCAATCGCTTCGCTCTGCGGTCCCTCAAGCACTCACGATATCTCTCTGACACTTTGTTGCTGCTTTATGTCCCTTGCTCGGAGCAGTGAGAGACATCACCGCCATAAACCGTTAAACCAGCTATCCCTCCCAGAGGCTTCTTTTCAGTTGAGGTCAAAAATTGACAAGCAAAGAGAAAACCCTTGATTCTTAAATTGGGCTTGGCTCCGCATTGCACTCAATTCAAATTTAGGAATTGGGCCTGTCTCCTGACTTAGTTTTAAACTAGGACTAGAATATGCGAGAGATGTTAAAAAAATATATATATAAAAATGCGCAGATATACTATGAGGGAAGCGGTTTTTTTTTTTTTAAGTAGAATATGTAAGCCATGTTTAATTGTTTGTTTTCAAAATAGTTTTTTGTTTCAAAAAAATAAAAAATATGTTTAAAAATGTTTTTTATTATCTGTTCTAAAAAAAAAGTTAAAAGTTATTTTAAAGAATAAGAACATCTTCTAAATGTTTTGTTACCTTTTGTTCTTCAAAATTAGAAAAAAGATAGAAAATATCATGCTTCCATTTAAAAATTTATTTTCTATTATCTGTTCTAAAAAAAAATTTAAAAGTTATTTTAAAAAAATTAAAAAATAAGAATATCTTTTAAATGTTTTGTTACTTTTTGTTCTTCAAAACTAGAAAAAAGATAGAAAATATCATGCTTCCATTAATAACAATTATGTTAATAAAAAAATTATTCATTCATCTTTTATTTCACCAATTTAAATATATTTAAATTAATGATTCAAATGATTTCTTTTATTTTTTTGTTTTCAAAATATATTTTGACAAACTATTATACAAAATTGTTTTAAGAACAAATAAATAGAAAACAAAAATAAACGAGCCTTGTAATTCGACAATTCTATGATGGAAGGATTACAATGAAGGCCCTGAAAATAAGAAATTTGACGACTATTATTTTGCAAGCCCAAATGTCTCGATTGCAATTATACTTTTTGGTAAAATAATTTATTTGTTAGATAATGCAATATACCCAAGAGTTGGGGTTAAGATGTAACATCTTGATTTTTATATAATAAAAAAATTATGAAATTTAGGTTTTGAGGAAAAAAAATGATAATAATAAAAATTTTTATTATTTGAGATTATTTAGAAATGATATTATGGTTAGGTATTTAATTATAAATTTAAAAATTTAAATTTAAAATCACATAAGCAATATTTAGTTAAGATATAATACATAAATAATTTTTTTATGTGTGTTAAAAAAAAGAGAAGGTAGAAGGAACAAAAAAAAGAGGGGTGAAAGGTTGTTGTTTCTAAGTAGGGGGTGTGTGCATTAGGAAGCATGAGAGGCTAAGATGCAATTTAGAGAAAATTACAACTTTTGGCCCAAAGGTTTGAATAATTAAATTCAAACCTATAGTTTTTTTAATATAATTTTGGGACCACAATCCTATTTTTATATTATTTTTCTCTCTTCCTCTCACGTTGCTCGGCCTTTTCTCGCAAGGGGGGATTATTTTCTTTTTCTTCAGGTACGTTCTAACTTTCCTGTTTAGATTAGCATTTAAAAATTTATTTAATTACAAAATTAATTTTATATTTATTTTTTAAATAATATTAGCTTTCTAGTGATATGATTATTTTGTAGGATAGAGTAAATATTCTGATTAGGATTTTTTTATAGAATAGTTAATCTGATGATATGATGGAGTAAAAATATAGGTCAAAACTCTTAAGGATATAATAAATATTATAGAATATTTTCTTGAGGTTGAAACTCATGTTTAAGAATTTTTAAGTTAAAATCTAGATCTATATGGTTGAATTTATGTGGAATCTGAGATGTAGGGATAAACCTATGATTATTAAATATTTATTTAAGTATGAATAGGTATTTTTGAGGTTATAGAAAGGTGATTTGAGGTTTCAGAATAATTCTAAAATTTTTAATTTATTTTTGGATGAATTTTTAGAATATAGAAGGATGAAATTATGATACTAGAAGTGAATTGAGGGTAAAAAAAAAGTTTATTAGGGTACGAGAATTTTAGAAAAAGAATTTGGAAAGTTAAATGAGACATAAATCTTAAATTATTGTTAATATGGATTATAGATCTAAGACTTTCTAACTCTTTAAATTAGAGTTATTTATTTTAATGTAAAATTAATATATAGTATTGTAAAATAATTATGTAGATTATATTGACAAAGATAGTGGTGAAAAAGGAGTTGTGAAAGGGAACTTGTTATTCAAAACACAAGGTAACCATTATTAATGTGTTGTGATGGGTGTGTTTGTGAATGATTATGTGTTGTTTTATTATTTGAAAAAATTATAAATTATTGAAAATAAATACTGTATATACTTGTTTGAAATTATTGCCAAGTGGGTTAAAAAAATTATTTTTATTTATCATGATGAGATATTATTGTTTGGATATATTTCTGTTTAGATATTTGAATGATGCATGACTTGTCAAAGTATTTAATGTATGGTGTTAATGGGAATTTCTGTTCGATTAATTATTACCACGTGGTAAGCCCTCATTGGACCCAATGAGTGGCGTGTCGCTTGGTCCAACTCACCTTTAATCGGGTGATTTGGTGTCCGAGCATGGCGAAAGGAGGATATAAGGTGCAGTCATGCAAATTAAATACTTATTCGGTTTGTTTGAAAGTATTGTTCGGTTAAATGTTTTATGTGCCCACTTAGCAATCGCATGATTAGTTACATCCGCATGCATCATAACATATTAATTTTTAGTTATTGGGACTTTTAAGTCTCATTTCCCGTGGTTAATATTTTTACAGGAGAGAGTTCGGCCGAGAAAGCACCAGAGGTGTAACTATGGTTTATGAGACACCATCTTTTACGTTGCCTCTTATTTTGGATTATACAATGTATCTTGTGCCAACTTAGGACATATTTTCTTTGTGAAGCATGTAAACTTTAATCCTTTTTATTAAAAGTATTTATATGACCAAGAGGATTATGTCTGTCCCTCTTGATTTATGATCTGATTTGAATATCATGCCATGAGGATTATGTCTGTCCCTCATGATTTTAATTGCCTTTTTGAACATTTTAAGACTTGCGTTATGTCTTGGATGTATCATGGTAAGAAAATTTTCTACCATGATAATGGTTTTAATAATTTGCAAAAAATCGGTTTGTAAATTTGAGGGTGTTACACAAGAAGTGGTGAATTGGGTGTTAATTAATTTTTTTATTCTTTTAAATTTTTTTTAACAAAATAGTGTATAAGAAAAAGTTTGAGTAAATTTGAGTTCTAAATTTTTTCAGCAAGAATGTTAAAGTAATTTTTACAAACTCAATATATGTAAAATTAATTTTTAAGTGAAAGTTTATGCAAGGGCATGTAAATATATTAAATTCAATTTTATCTATTAAAATAAAGTATAAACTAAAGTTGTTGAACATATAAAGAGTTGGGGAAAAAGAGAATGCAAACTGTGATTTATTATGGTCTAATTCTAACCACTTGACCTTATATATAGTCCTCAAAATACTTCTAAAATTTATCCACTATAACAACTTTAAGTGAGTACTTCCATGCTTGTCACCATAATACAACAAGTTTAATTCGGACACTTGTGAGCTATTACAATCATTCACTACATTAGTGAGCTTTTCTTCTTAAGAGAATAACCTCTTTTGATTACAAGAGAAATTTCTCCCTCACTCTTACAAGGACTTCAAGTATATAAATTACTTAATTGAAACTCTCTCTAAAAGTAATAATGGGTACAATGAATCTCTAATACTTAAATGATAAAAATATAACTATTATAGGGTCAAGAACAATTACTCTCATATAACAAAAGTAGTTCAAATATAAATTTCATCTCTTTATCATTTCTGAGCTTGATCTTTTGTTAAAATGAATTCGAGATGTTATATTCATAGCCTATCAAATGAAATAACTGTTAGAAACAAATCTAACCATTTATAGCCATTAGAAATGTGTAAGAGTGAAGCAAAATGAAAAAACACTTCTTCTTTTGCAAAATGCATTAAATACACTGTCAGATGCCAAAACAATTGTGTTTTGGAAGAGAGTTACACGTGAATTGACATATCTCGCAAAGGCTTTGTTTGTTTACTTTTGACTAATTCAAGTGAGTTTCAATTAGGGATTAAGCTTAAATTAGCTGATAGGATAGTTTGGTTTACTTTTGGCTAATTTAAGTGAGTTTCAATTGAGGCTTAAGCTCAAATTGACTAACAAAATAGCTTGGTCTACTTTAGACTAATTCAATTGAGTTTCAGTTAGGAGACAAACTTGAATTGGCTTGCTCAAGTTCAAGACTCTTTTTAAGTCAAATTTAAAAGTTATAACTTCAAAGTAATGAATCACATAAATGGCAAGCATGGATTAGATGAAGGCACAAACTCAATTTGACATGCTATGGCTGGTCCAAGTGTATTTCAGTTAGAGGATAAGCGTAGATTGGATCACATAAGTCATTTAGTGAAGAACAACCTTCTAGAAGTTATTTTAAGTGTGTTTTGGCACCTACACATGTTTAAATTGGACATCAAAGCGTTTTAAGGCTGAAACAAGCATGTGCCTATTCTAAATCATGCATGTATGAGAAGCATTACAATATAAAATTTTTAAAGTTTATAACTCATTCAATACAACTCCAAATTTAGCAAAATGTATATTGTTGGAAAATTTTTGAAGTCTAGTTTTTAAAAAAGTAATTTTTACAATTAAATTCAACTTGCTTTATGAAATATGATTAAAAGAGTGACAAAAAATCAAAGCCAAATACTATGGAGAATCAATATCTTAATACTCAATTTTTCAAAATCATGTTTTTCTTAATAAAACTTCATTGTGAATAAATTACCTATCATTGCAAATATGTTAGAGTCTATTTTCAAATACGATAAGATTCATATTAAAGGAATCTATATAGTAAGAGATATGACTAAAAATGTAACCAAAGGTTAAATCTAACTTTCTGCAAAATTATATTGCAAAGTTTAGATTTCAAGGATTCATAACTTTTTTAACTTAAATCTATTTTAAGTAAATAGAACAACTTAAAAAACTTTATGAAATTGGTGATCAAAACATTTCAGAACTTGTGAGATATAGATGATCAAAGATCAAACAACATTACATAAATTTATATCTCATTATTTCATTTTAAAATTAAAATGTATGTTTTGATTTAAAATATTTTAAGCCAATATTGAATGTATAAATCAATAAGTTTAACAAAAAGACTTATAACTTAAGGCTGTTATACCTATTAAGTCTAAGGTTTTCAAAGTACATCCAAACTGGTATGAATATCTTTATTCTTTTTAAACTTTACTTGGATCATTCAAACTTATATGAATGTCTTCAATTTTGAGTATAACATGCTAATGATAATTTCAATTCTCTTCCTCTTCATGCTCACTTTCATTTGTTATGGGAACAACCTTTAATAATATACCATGAATAAAGTGATTGGTGTAGGTATTAATGTGCATGAGAATGAATATAAAAATTATAATGTCATGCACACAGAACGTCTTCTACTTGGTAAATATCCAACTTACAAAACAAAAATTTGAAGACTTCCAGAATTATATAATCATTTTAAGATAAGGAAAAATGTGATAGTATAGAATAACATTAATGCAAATTAATCATCTTTTAAAATCTCATATAATATGAAATAATTTAAGTAAAATTACTTTAAAACACTTATTTCATAATTATAGGTAACTACTATATATAAATAAATAATTAGACATAAGTATAATTGACTAATCTACATTTATTATTATCAAAACCTAAAGGACATATAATATCATAAATTATTATGTCTAATAATATTTGCCCTTTCTTTGAAAAAATAACCATCATGAACGGAAACCTTACACATTTAATTCCTTCTTTTCTTCCCTTTCCTTTTCTTCCTTCCTCCTCCTCCTCCTCCTCAAGCTTAACCTAGACAATGGTGATTCAATTATCGTGGCTCGCGCATGGGTAAGGTTTTCTGAGAAATATACTTGCAAAAGTTGAAGGAATACATAGTATCTGACATATTTTTGGTTGATGGGTATGAGTGGGCTATCTATTTTTATCCAACTAGATAATGTGTCGAAGACAATGCCACTCGCGTATTGTTGTTTATCATGCCTGCTTATTGACTTGAATCAATCTGAGTTTTTTGCATTTGAATAAATTAGAAATCCATTAATTAGAATTGACGAGTCCACCTTTGGATATTTATAAGTAAAAATCCATATGTTAACGAGCTAGTGTTTAAGATTGACAAGCTTATGTAAAAGGCAAAGGAGCTTGATATTGGGCACATTTGGAGCCTATTCTAATTTGAAAAACTAATTATAGCCTTGTCAAATCTTCGAAGCTTAAATGTTCCTTGTGTGACTCTGTTTTCAATGAACTTGATAAATGGATATTTCTTTAAAAATAATTAAAATTTGATGATTATTTGTTGATCTTTTATTATAAATTTTATGAGGATAACTTCTAAAGTTTCTATTATTCAAGTGTAACTTGTAAATTTATTTGAGCTCGCGAGGTAATTGTGGGCAATTTTTTTTTTTTTCCAAATGTTTTCTTATTTAAATATTTTTATACATGTTAATTATTTGCCCACGACCCACTGTCCTTGAGGCTTGTACTTGTACCCACCTCGACGGACGGGTTCGACAATGGTGGACGGTGGTTTTCATGCTTGTTTTTCCTTCTGCTAAACTAAATATCGAAGAGGCTAACAGCTGAGGAAAAGCCTTCTCTGCATCTTCGGTTCTGATTCTTGTTAAGTGATGAGGAAGGAAGAGCAAGTTTGACGGAGATTCTTGTTGAAATGGGTTTGAACTATTACGATGATTTCAAACTCACTGAAAGTCATGGCAATTCTGTTTCTATGGGATCTCCCAACAAGGAAAGGTTCAAGAATGTGCATTGAACATGTCTTCAATGGCTACTTTCGCCGGTGAAGTTTCGGTCTTTGCAGACACCAACTTGGGCACTCGCATTTCTTTCAATGTCCCTCAGGATATTACTGCAGGAGCATTCAAAAGTAAGGAAAATAATATCTTTTTCTTGTTATTTATATTCTCTGCTGAATAAAATCCACTGCTTTAGGCGATTCCCTTATATGACAAAATTTAGTGTTGTTTTTACTCTTTTGGTTTTGCTGCTTAAAACACGGTCTTTTCTTTTTTACCCAAGCGTCTTCAGCTTTAGGGTTCACTGTTCACGCAATTTGGACCATTATCTTGGTCTGTGCCTGCGTTTTTTTTTTTTTTTTTGGTGTGTTTAAGTTATAATCTCTGGCTGGATATTACTTTATCGTGACAAAACTTGGGAGAATCTTGAGAATCGCATAGGTTGTTATGCAGATTATCAATGTAGCACTTACTAACAAAAGTATTCTTTGTGTAAAATGGTGTGATGGTATCAGCTCAGACTTAAATCTTACATAATTCATTAGCTGAGCCAACATTGAATGCTTGAAACCATCCAGCTCCTGATCTCCATGTCCAACCTACTCTCCCATGCAGAGCTTAAGTGTTCATTTGAGCTCTTCAATGATGGGTGTTATAGATATATATTATCTGCTTGTGATGGTATTATAGCTCTGCCCTTTTAATATTGTCCCATTTTTTCACATTTCAATGCACAGTCTTTTTGCTCAATTCCAAATGTGATCTAAGTTTCTCTATTTTATTATTGAAATTAATTATTTAACTGATCCTGGCTCTTCATTGTTTGCTTGCACCTACAAAGACTGGAAATTACTGGTGTTTGGGGGGAGCACTTCTTGTTTTCCTTCTTGTTTTCATCTTAACTCAATCTACAGAATTGTTCACTGGGGCCTCACCTGTTAAAACTTGTGTTACTTCAGATACTTAACCTCCTACTTTGCTTAGTTTCTTTCCATGCATTATGATCTGCTTCCTTGTTGATCTTGAACATCAACAATTTCCTTGAATTATTTATGAAATAATAATGATAAAAGATGTAAAATTACAGTTTGACATTGATTGCATCTCTTTATTGGCTTATCCTTCTATGCAAAATATTTGAGTTGCCCTGTTATTAAACATAATCAATGCTCTTGTTCCTCTGCAGGAGATTTCGAGAGAGTTCACTTCTCATGTTTACCCCATTCGGGAAAGATCCAAGTTGATGGATTAATGGTATATGAAGTTGCCTGTTTTAATTTATACGTCACATTTAAGATAGGACAGACTTAGGTAAAGTTTCCAAGATGTTCTCTAATAAAGCATAATATGTGAAAGAACTTTTTGGGATGTAGTCGATCATGTTTTTATAATGCTTGCAACCGCAAGCTCTTTTTATTCCTTCTTCTTTTTCCTGATGAATTTCTACATACTCTGCTAGGTCAAGCGAAGATTGTTCTTTTACTACCTACCAGATTCTCTGCCTCTAAAGTATGTTTTTCCGGGGATGAGCTGCGAATGGTTTCTTCATGTAGAAGCGAGTCATTTGAAGAATTTGTGTGTTTCACATCCAGAGGCTGCTACTACTGCTCATTTCAGATCTCAGGACTTGATAAACTGCAGTTCTGGTGATAAGGCAAGGGGCAACAGTGTGGACAATACTGTTCACATTTTAAAGAAAAAGAAGGAAAAGAGGAGGAAATTTAACAAAAAGAGTTTGCAGGATACAGCAAGCGCAATGCCAGAAGGATGCTCTTGTAAATTTGAAGAAAACCCCATGGGCATAAATGACAAGAATCCAGTTGTCATACCTGAGAATGAAGTTCAGATATCAGTGAAACCAAATGCTAACTCCATGCAAGGCAGTCTCGGTGAGATGTCAACAGAAGTGTTATCAGTCACAGGTATCATTGATAAATATTTTCCTACTGGTAACAGAATCGACAACTTGCTCAGCAGTCCTTCACTGTCAGATGTTACATCTAACGCTGTTCATGAGGACGTTGATGATCAACCAAAGACCATCAAAACACCTCTGAATGTATTGCGTGCTCCATTGCATGTTGGCTCAGTCTCAAGAACTTCACAGGATAAAAGAAGAGAATCTAAACTGAGGAAGCGCCTTGTTGCTGCTTCTCTGAGTCTGGGGATAAGTCCGATTAAGCAGAGTCCCACACTTTCTTTGTGTAGATTGAAAGATGAGAAACTGTCGCAGCACAAATCTGAAACTATAGGTTCACTATTCAACATCAGCGACAACGATGATTGACATTTTTGCATGGGCTTTAGGAGGTTGTTTATAAAATGATATTCATTGTGCTTTGATCTCTACATGTGGGTGTAGGCTTGGAACGTTGTCAAGAATTCTGTTAAGGAACTGCATGCTGGTTCACCTCCTTTGCATGGAGAGCTTATGCTTAATTTGGCAATGCTTCACACCCAGCCACAAAGAACAGAGGTATGTCTCAGTTCAACTTTTTGTTTCTCTATGGTGAAGTAGAGACTAATCTCATGAGCTTATCATTCTAAGAATTGGTGATCAAAACTGAAAAGCATAGGATTGAAAACCAGGTAAATCCGGCCAATTAAAGCGGTAAACTGTTGAATTAATGCCTTAATTGGTTCAATGAAATACTTTTTTATGACTTGTCTGACCATGATTTTGACCATTGATCCTTAAACCAGTTCCTTAAAGATGGGTTTAGTTTTCAGTGCCTTGATGAAAAATCTAAACACTAGGATTTCAACTTGTAGATACACTGGAAAGCCAAAGAAGTGTGGAATTAGCTTGCAGTTTGTACTTTGTAGCCTTATCCGGACCTGTTCGTCAAGCCGATAATTTTTGAGCCAGCACTAGGTGATTTCTTAACCTCACAGCTTCAATCTTTAGTTGATCTTTCTTGAGAAATATCAGTGTTACTGGGTTCTGCACCAAAGCCAGGTTCCAAGCTCAGCAACAAGTTCAGCAGCGTGATATTTATACATCTTTGACAATTGACCAATTAATTCAGTTAGTCGTTGTGTAGCTGATATAGTATGAGAAAAGAAATCGTCATTTTGTGTGAAAAGAAATCGTCATTTTGTGTACCTAAATGCCAATTTGTCTGCTTGAAATGTAGAATTTTGATCTGGGTTTGATTCCGACTTGGGATTTCTCGAAGATTCATATCGGAGTTCATGTAGGATTACTAGGTCATGATGTGTAAAATACCAGCTACATATTTATTAGAGAAATCCAAGATCCTTTTTTTTTCCCTTTCTTAATGTAAAATTAATTCGGATTTTTCATCTTATAGTCATGTATTTATTTTTTTGGGTATAATGTGTAAAGCTTACTATTTTTCTTTCTTCCATTCACATTCTTCTCTAAATTATTTTAATATAAATATGAAATTTTATGATATATTAAATTAAAATTATAAAAAAAAAATCAGTGCAGCTAACAGGTAGACCCTATTGTTTTAACTTCAAGCTGCTTTTCATAGAAAAAAAATTGGGGAAAAAATCTATCCTTCTTGCATACAGAGCTCTTCACATATTTTTGTATGGTTTTTATTGACAATTGTGCTTTTAACTAAATTGTCACTCGTGATGATATCATTAAAAGGAAAACATGTCTTTTGGTGTTTTAACCAAAGAAAATTTGATGACAGAAATATAATAAACTAAATATAAATGTAGATTATATTATATTATAATATAGAAAAAATCATCTACTCTCTCCATTAAAAAATGTAAGGCATTTTTTGAGGAGGTAGATGTTAAAAAATATAAGAAATTTTTAGTCTTTCAAGGTGTAATTATTATCTTTTTTTTTTCAAAAGTGTTCCTATTGATAAATGACTTTATATTTATTGTAGGGTGTTTAATAGAGATAAATATTAAAAGATAGAGTTAATTTAAAAGTAGGAAACTATTTTATTAGAAGGTAAAATTTTACTAAAAATGCCTTACATTTTTTAAAGGAGGAATATATATTTATAAAATTTTATGCAAATGATAATATTTGTAAATCATAAATAGTGTAGCATCTCTTTATAATTTACTATTTATAAGTCCTGAAGAGCAAACGTTATACTGTGCTTCATGCCTTTTTTATTTTATCCAATTATTTTATTTGTATTTCTTCTATCTATTTTTCCATCATTTGAATTTAAATTTTAAAATTTCAACAAATTGTTTGAAGCAGTAACTTTTTATTAGATTATACATATCATGCAAATTTGTGTCCTGATTTTCTATGCTTTGCTTTTGTTGGTGACGACGAAAATTGAACTGTTGAGGTACAATACCCCCTCAAGGCCCGAGCTTACTGCACGGCATGAAAAGGGCTAAAAAGGACTTCAAGGTGAGAAGGAAAAATGACGCAATGTGAAATCTGCAACAAGTGGCTTGAAGAATCACCGAAAGTGTCTAAAATAATATTACTTTCGCTGAACAATCAATTAAAAAATAATAAATATTGACCAAGCGTAATTTCTTGAGTTCACATGCACCTCCACTTAATTTAGTAAGTGATTAGTTTTTTTATTTTGTTAAAAGTCAATTATTATAATAAAATTTATACTTAAATATATTTTTTTAAAATTAATTTAGTAAAATAAAAGTTATTTAAATATTTTTTTATCAGCTATTATTTAGATTATATAATGAAATGTACTTTTAAATATATAATTATTAAAAAAGATAATAATTTTTTTGATTTATAATTTTTGTTAAAAAATATTTTATATTAAAAATGTTTTAAAAATATGTGTTATACAAATTTTAAACAACATAAAATTTGATATGTTATTCGAGTTAAAAGGCACTTTATAATTATAAAAATTGAATTTCTTTATTTTATTTAAAAATAAAATTAGATAAAAATTGTATATTAAGCAAAATTTTAAAATGAATGGTTCGTAGCTAATAATTAACATTAATAAATAGTATTAATTATTATAAAATGTAGGTTAAAATACAAAATAAATATTAAATTTGTAACATCTTAAATTTTTAACTTGAAACTTTAGGTGTTTAATAAGAGTAAATTAGTCAAAATATATGGTTTATAAACTAATAGTATTTTTAAGACACTAATAAAGTTATTTGACCTTTGAACAACTTTAAAAATAAGTTAAGATGGTGTACAAGTTAATCGAACTCAAGTGGGTGCCCAAAAAGACATGTGACAATTGTTGTGCCATGTGCCGTAATGCACACATGACATGCCACGACGCACGGTCAATTTCAAAAATAAATCAAACGTAAGTTACATTTGATTTTAAAGGAGGAAAAGAGAGAAACGAGGAAGAGACATCAAAGGTTGAGCTTAAGGTAGCTAGAACGAATCTCTAATGTGATTTTAGAAACATTTGGGGCTTGATTATTATTGAGTAAGCTTCCTTCACATTCCCCTCTTCTTTTTTATGTGAAATTTATGTGGTTTAGGGCAATGTGGAGCTTGATTAATCTCTTCTTGGGTTTTGACCGAACTTATTGATTTAAATGCCATTAGTGATGAAAGTTAGGATTATTGGAAGCCACTATCAGTGGTGGATGGGTTTAATGAAGCTAGTTAAAGCTAATAGGAGTTAATAAATCTAATGTGGTGATTAAACCATGAGTTAATAGTTTTGGATGATCAAAGTATTGAAATTTGAGAGTTAAAAGTGAGTAAGTTGTGACATTAATGATGATTTAGGGTTGTAAGATGATATATTAGTGATTATTTAAGTTATTGAGAGCTGAATGAAATTAATGAGAGTTAAAAAAACTTATTGGATATAAGGTTGATTTTGTAATTGAGAGATTTATCATTAAAGTATGAAATGAGATATGAAATGAGATGTTGGAAGTGGTGATTTTAATAATTATAGTGATGGGTGTTGATGTAATTGTAGACTAACCTCACGAAGCACTGGTGAGCTTGAATTTAGCTTGAAAAGCAAGTTATGATTGAAGGATAACCCTTGACTTCTGAAAAGTTTGAGGTAACTTGAGAAAAATCTTGTTTGTATAATTGTATGTTAATTATTTATTAATTGAACTAATTCATTTAAAAGTATTCGGGTGGTCGAGAATCCATTGATGCAATGTTAGAAACATGATGAATTATGTGTATGAGATTGTATTGAATTGTTGAGAATGTTCATATGTATATTCATGTGATTATTGATGAATGAAAGCATGTAATTGTGAAACCAATGAACATGTGATATTTGACATGTAGAGTATGAAGAATATAATTGTGGTATGTAGATTATAGTGGAGAAAGAAAATTATGTGAACATGATATGATGTGATTATTGTTTTTTGAATGGCATACATCATGTTATTTGTGCATGGCATGATCATTATGGCAGGAGTTCGCTTATAGAGAGGAGTAGATTGGCAAACCCACGTGTAATGACGACTTCTTGTTAGAATTGAAAGCTTGTCTTGGTACTGATTATTGAAATTGGGAGGTGGTCATTGTCCCATAGTTGATTTAGGACTGTCCCACTTGTTCTTTGAGAGACTCGAACCTAGCTAGTCTTTGCCTGTTCATCAGAAGGCTGGATTAAGGGTCAGACAGCTCATGGTTATTAGTATTAAGGGAAACCACGTAACATAAGTAAGTGAGTTAACCCTGACTCAGTAGCTTCTCATGAATGGAAGGCTTGGTTAGTTCAAGTTTAGGGTTTAAGGGAAACCACGATAGCCTATGGTTATTAGTATTAGGGAAAACTACATAACACAAGTGAGTGAGTTAATCCTGACCCAATAACTCCTCACGAGTGGAAGGCTTGGTTAGTTCGGGTTTTGGACGTAGCATTTGAATAGCCATCGATTTTATATTAGAGATATTAGGAGGGCATAAGGTTAGTATTGATCAGACATTTTACTTTCAGCTACATAGTTGTTATTATTATGGTTTGGTGTGTTTTCATTAGGGGTGCCTAGTTATTATTATTGTGATCTTTAGATATGTATTTTGAAATAAATGTGACAATATGCATTAGTGTTTGGTCACATGGTTGTTAGTTTTGTGGTCGAGGCTATAATTATAAAATATATATGTGATGCTTGTGAAGTTATTTAATTGCTATTTACATCTATAATTAATTGATATACAACTGTATAAGCTATATTGACCTTGATTACTAAGTGGTTGTATTCACCCTTTTATTTAATATTTTATAGTTCCTAGCTCTGGTTGGGACAAAGGAAAGGCATATAAAGTTTAGGAATCAAATTTCTTACCATAATGCCTCAATTACTTTTGATTAATGTGTAATTATCATGATATTTTAGCTAGGATGTTTATATTTTGTTATATTTGCACAATTAAATATTGAATATTGAAACATGTATTTTAGGACCTAGTGCTTGTGATATCTTTTTAGTTGAGATATTTGTGTAATGCCAAGATACTTGTGCAAGTAAAGAGTGAGTATATTTGTGAATAATGGTAATTTAGATGTGAAATTACATGTTTTGGCTTCCCCTTATATTTTTGTGATCAAGGAATTAAGTGGTGAAAATGTGATATAATTGATGTTTGAATGTTGTGGTGTATTACACGAGTCTGTTATAGTCCATTAACTATGGTATAAGGGTTGGTGTGGGCTTTTGACACTTGAATTGAGTTTTGTACACCTTAGTTATGTTTTGAAAATATAAAAAAGTGAGTTTGCTTTTTAGTGTCTAACTTTTGATTGAAAAATGATTTAAATATGAAACCAATGCTATTAGATAGAGCTCGAAGAAGGCTTTTTATAAATATCTAGATCACCTCAATCCAATTGAATGTTAGATAAAGATTTGGTGCACATCGAAAGTTTGGTCAAAAAATCTACCATGTTATGCAATTTATACGCATCGTATTTTGCCAGAATTTTTGTTTTTACTCTTTTGACCTTAATTTAATATTATCTTACCTTGTATGACATCCATGCTTCCATACATATGTTTTGTTCTGATTTTATTTTTTTAAAAATAATTTTATATAATTATAAGTTTTGAAACTTGGGATCCCATTTGTAAAAATTTTATAAATTTGATAATTTATTTAGGTTATTCTTGTGATTACTTTGATTATAGGGGTTAATAGTACATTAGTAAGAGAGACCTTACATATCTGTTATTTATAAGCCACAAGTCTTTAAATTATATTACAGTAGTTACATGCAAAAAATACATCTACATAATGACAAGATATATGATATTTGGATGTTATATGTATGAATGATGTTAAACTTCTAATAGGTCATTATTGTAGGTTATCGAGTTTTAATTAAAAAAATTCTACAAGACAACTCTTAAATGGTTATGAAT